GTTTTTGGTTTTTTTTTGAGACGTTTTTGCTGTAGGGCGCGTGCGCTCACCAGAAAGAGAGAGGGAGAGAGAGAGAAAGCAAAAAAATCACCGGGGGGGGGGCACTCTGCAATCCCTTCTCTTCCATTCTCCTCTCGGGATCTTGGGCACACACGCACACGCGCCCAGCATGAGTTTTAAGCCACCCGGGACTCAAACCACTGTTGACTTCATGGGAATCCAGCGACATAGCCATTATGCCAACTGCTGGTCACTCTGATGGTTTTATTGTTAATCTAGTAGTAAATTAGCAGTGCCAACCTTGACTCACCTTTTTTTGAGTTCGTTTGACTACCTTTTAGTGGATGTTTTCAATTATCTTGGGAAACTCAGCCCGTGAATAATGCTTGTAATTCCACGTTACGGTTTCATTTATGAATTTAAGACTCAAATCCCAGATGAAATGGGATTTCCTAGGTTATTTGAGTACATACGAGTGGGTTTCAGTAATTTCTGGGGTGGAAGTTAAAGGTCAGGAGGAGGAGGCCTCCTTAAGACACAGCTAATTCTGTATCTACCATAGCCTTGGAGGAGTAGACTTGACAGTTTCACCCAGAATTGGCCCTGGATAGCACAATTTTCTTAAACTTGTCAGCCTAACCCACCTCTTAACCTATTAATCCATGTTTTCCTTGAAAGACTACATCCAATTCTTTGATCTCAGATTACAAAGCTAGCAACAGGCCACTTCCCATGATCTTGTAAATTTGGGGAAACGAAAGAAATATTCCACATTATAGTGTGTTTAGAAAACAGAAGGGCAAGAAAGGATCTATCTCATGCTGTTCATGTGATGTTACTGTCATTTTGGTGCATCCAGTCTCTCTTGTTTCTTTTGTTATTTTGGCTACACATAATTAGTTTCTTTACATAGTTGAAACCCTCATACATTAGTAATTTTGCATCATGTCTTTTTTTACTTAGAAGAATTTTCCTCTATTAAGACTGTATTTTACATTTTTTAAAAAATAGTCACTTATTGGGACAAACAGTTGGCATACTGGCTATGTCACTGGACTCCCATGTAGTTGACTACAGTTCAAGTCCCAGACCGGTGGCTTAAACTCAGGCCAGACGCCTGTGCGTGCGTGCCCAAGATCCCTAGAGGAGAATGGAGGAGAAGGGATTGTGGCATGGCCATCTCCCCAGGGGGTGATTTCTTGCTTTCTGTCTCTGTCTTTCTAGTGAGTTGCATGCACCCAATAGCAAAAACCTCTCAAAAAAAAGAAAAAAATGTTACGTATTATCATTACTTTTCAATTTTGACCAGAGAGAGAAAAAGAGAACAAACCCCCAGGCCCACGATTCAAACCGCAGTCGGCCATGTGGAAGTCTAGTGCCTTTAACCACCATGCTACCTGCTGGCCACAGTATTTTACTTTTGTAATAGATACATTTCATGTAACCATATCATAATTTTCTTAACCATTTCCATATTGGTAGACATTCTTGACCTGAATGAGTCCTGATATTCTAAATTGATTTCCAAACTAATTATAATTTATTAGCAGTATATGAATTAATTCATCTTTTTATATTTTTTGCCAATTTTGGAGTATATACATATTTTTAATTGACAGATTTAACAAAGGGGTACCTTACTATTTAATGTGCAATTTTCTGACTACCAAGGACTAGGACATTTCCATGTTTATTTTATTTCTCCATTATGAATCAGCTTTGTTCATGTCTTGGTTCTGTGAGCCACTAAATAAAAAAAATTGGGGGGGGGATTTTTGCTATAAGGTGTGTGCACTGGCCAGAGAGCAACACAGAAGAGGGAGAGAAAGTGAGAAATCACTCCCAGGGTGGAGGGGGGGAGGCGGTGCCCATACCACAATCGCCTCTCCTCCATTCTCCTCTTGGGGTCAGCAGGTAGCTTGGTGGTTAAGGTGCATGGGTGACTGCAGTCTGAGTCTCGGACCTGGTAGCTTGCTTTCTCACTTCTCTCTCTCTGTCCCTCCCTGGTGAACACATGTGCCCTATAGCAATTTTTTTTAGAGATATTTTTGCTATTGAGCACATGTACTCACTGAATAGACAAGAGACAGAAAGCAAGAAATCACCCCCCGGGGGTGAATGAGAATGAATGGCCATGCTACAGTCCCTTCTCCTCTATTACCCTTTCAGAATTTCGGGCACCTATGCATACGTGTACATGCACCCAGTGTGAGTTTCAAGCCTCCATGTCTGGGACTTGAACTACGTTCAGCCATGCTGGAGTCCAGTGACATAACCATTATACCATCTGCTGGTCCTATTCCTATACCAAATTTTAAAAAATAAATCATTCTTAAAAGAAAAAGAGGGACCGGCAGTTAGTGTAATGGCTATGTCGCTGGACTCCCGAACCCGGTGGGTTAAACTCACACCGGCCGTGGCCGTGTGTGCGTGTGTGCCCGCCCAAGATCCCGAGAGGAGAATGGAAGAGAAGGGATTGCGGCGTGGCCATCCCCCCTGGGGGGGTGATTTCTCACTTTCTGTCTCTCTCTCTCTGTCTTTCTGGTGAGCGCACATGCCCTATAGCAAAAACCTTCCAAAAAAAAAAAAAAATTGAGGGACCAGCACGTGATGTGGTGGTTAAGGGCACTGGACTCCCACACGGCTGACTGTGGTTGGGCTCCCAGACTTGTCAGCTTGCTTTTTCACTCCTCCCTCCCACTCTCTTTCACTCTGTCCCTCTCTGGGCAAATCAAAATAAAATAAATAAAGGTAAACAAAATAATTTTTAAAAATTACACTTTTGAAGACATGGCATATCTCAAGTGATTATCCTTAAATGTCTTTTAAGAATATCTAATCTGGGCAAGTAGGTAGCATGGTAGTTGAGTTGCTGGATCCCATATGGCCAAATCTCTGTGGTTCAAATCTTGGACCTGGTGGAACCTGAAGAACCTAGACCTGAAGAACATGCCAGACACGTGTGCCCAAAATTCCAAGAGGAGAAGAAATTTCAGTGTGGTCATCTCCCCCAGGGAGTGATTTCTCACTTTCCCTGTTTCTGCCTTTCTCTGGGCAGCGCATGCACCCTATGGCCAAAATCTTAAAAAAAAAAAAAACAGTCATAGTGACATGAAGGCAAATGTGAGAACTATAATCTTATTGCCTCTAAAAAGTTCAAAATTATGTCCAATAGTAGGAAAATGGTAACCGTGGGTGTGTGTGTGTATGTGCACATGCACGCGCTTTTTTTTTTTTCCTGGAGAAGTTTTTGCTATAGGGCGTGTGCACTTGTCAGAAAGACAGAGACAGAGAGATAGAAATCACCCTCCCAGGAGATGGCCACACCACAATCCCTTCTCTGTTTTCCTCTCAGGATCTTGGGCACGCATGCACACATGCCCCGTGTGAGTTTAAGCCACTGGGTCCAGGACCTGAACCTTGGTCGACTACATGGGAGTCCAGTGACGTAGCCATTACTCTATCTGCTGCATGTGCATGTTTTTGAGAAATTTTTGCTACAGGGTGCATGCAATCACCAGAGAGACAGACGGAAAGTGAGAAATCACCCCCACTCCCGTGGGGATGCCCATGTCACAATCCCTTCTCCATTCTCCCCTCATGATTTTGGGCGCAAATACACACCCCGGTGTGAAGTTCAATCCACCAGATCTGGAACTCGACCACGTGGGAGCCCAGTGATGTAACCATTTTGCATCAGCTGGTCCCTGACCAAGTGTTTTTAATTCTAAAATTCCTGGCACTATTTCTCTATCCGTTTGTATTGCACGATTTGTGCTTTACTTTGCAAAGCCAAGGAATGATGGTTACGACAAAACAAAACATTTAGAAATCTTGGGTTTGGTTTTGTTTTGAGATTTTTGCCATAGAGTGCCTGTGCTCACTGAGAGGCAGAGGGGAAAGTGAGAAGTCACCCCACAGAGGGGATGGCTACACACCTACTCTCTTCTCCATTCTCCTGGGATTTGGGGCATGCAGGCACAGGATCTTCATGCCGCCAAGTCCCAAGTCCAGGACTCAAACCATAGTTGACTACATTGTAGTCTAGCTGTAACCATTATGGCATCTGCTGGTCCCAGGGGAATCCTATGCTTCCAGCTGGTCCTAAAGTCTTGTAATTTTTATCTGCTTCTCTGCAGCCTTCATCAGCTTTCTTTGGGAGACACAAAATGCCTGTGTAGTTCTTTGTGATTTCTTCCTTGCTAAGGGACAAGCTAGGGAGAGATGACTGTGGTTGCCTGCATGCACTGGGCAACAATTCACCCATTGCTCCCCTTGCAAAAGATACCATTTACCCCTAATGGTCACCAAGAACTGCATTTGGTCGGAGAAAAAGACCTAGCCCATTAAAGGAGCTTTTAGCCAAGGCTTCAAAAGGCAAGAAGGTTGGAAAATCACACCAGGAGAGTGTGCCTCAAAATCCGAGAAGGAGAATGGAGAAGGGATTGTTGAGTGGCCATCTCTTATAGGGGTGGGGTGATTTCTCACTTTCCCTCTCTGTCTCTCTAGCCAGTACACTTCGCCCTATAGCAAAATGTCTAAAAAAAAAAAAAAAAAAAAAAAAAGCACAGGTATCATTTTATTTGTTTATTTATTTTGGAGAGGTTTTTTTGTTTTGTTTTAAGTTAGGGACTCGGACCAGCGATGTAACCGCCACGCCATCTGTTGGTCCAGATACCTGTGCTTTGAAGGACACTTTTCCCCACTTCACTTTCTTTCTACCAAGATCAGGAAAATGAGGCCCACAGGAGACAATCATCCTTCTCAATCAAGATTATATTTGTTGGGAACCGCAGTTAGCGTAATGGCATAACGTTTCGTGTAGGCACCCAAGCCACTCTTAATCCCAGATGAGCAGTAGTTTACTACCTAGAAAGGGAAGCGGCCTGCGGAAGCGATTAACCTCGCGCCGCCAACCCGAGGAGGATTGAACTGGCGCTCCGGAGCACTTTGACAGCGCTTAGCCCTTGGGCGACCGCTACTACTCCGAATTCGGGGAAGAGTCATTTCCGGCGCGACCGGAAGACGAGGGGAACCGTTTGGGGAACGGACTGACCTGAACGCTCTCCCGGGTCCGGAAGGTGTTCGCCGGGAATTACACTCGTGAAATCCGGGGCTTTATGTGGAACTCAGTGAGTGGGGTCCCTTAGTTAGGGTCGTCCGGGTGGCGCACATTGTTTTGTCCAAGGGGTCAGTGGCACAAGTCACGCGAATTCATTAACTATCGCGCGTTCGGAAGCTTACCCAAGATGCACTGAATCCCCGCCTGAGCCCACGTTGGGCACTCTGGAGAACAGGGACATTGCTTTGCCAGAAGCGGCCGGCTTTGCCCCTGCCGGCGCGCCGAGACGAGTGCGGGCCTCACCCTTGGCCTCCCCTGCGCCCAGAGCTTTCTGGACTCAGGTTCCTGAAGCGTTCCTCAGATCCGGTTTTTCTCAGCGACTTCTTGTTACCTTTTAGATAAGTTCCAAAGCTTCCAGCGCTTGCATTCAACTACGTATTTCAATATCCTTTTTTTTTTTTTTCTCGGATTCCTTGGTAAGATATTCCTAGCGGTGAAACAAAACAACACTGGAGGGAGTCAGAAAAACACTTCCTGGGACCAGCAGTTATCGTAATGGCTATGTCACTGGATTCCCATGTAGTGGACTTTGGTTCGAGTCCCGGACCCGGTGGCTTAAACGTGTGTGTGTGTGTGTGTGTGTGTGTGTGTGTGTGTGTGTGTGTATGTATGTGTGTG